GCTAGGCATTGTTAATAGAATCATAGGACCGTAGAGTTGGAAGGGACCCCACGGGTCACCTAGCCCAACATTTTCCAACCTGGGTCTCCCGCTGTTTTTCGACTACAACTCCCATCACCCCTAGCTAGAAGGACCAGGGATGATGGGAACTGTAGTCCGAAAACAGCTGGAGACCCAAGTTTGGGAAACAGTGGTCTAGCCCAGGCACCCCCAACCTTTGGCCCTCCAGATGTTTTGAGACTACAATTCCCATCATCCCTGACCACAATTCCCATCATCCCTGACTACTGCAATGCACTCTACGTGGGGCTACTTTTGAAGGTGACCCAGAAACTGCAACTAATCCAGAATGCGGCAGCTAGACTGGGGACTGGGAGTGGCTGCTGGGACCATATAACACAGGTCCTGAGAGATCTGCATTGGCTCCCAGTACGTTTCCAAGCACAATTCAAAGTGTTGGTGCTGACCTTGAAAGCCCTAAACGGCCTCAGCCCAGTATACCTGAAGGAGCGTCTCCACCCCCATAGTTCAGCCTGGACGCTGAGATCCAGTGCTGAGGGCCTTCTGGCGGTTCCCTCATTGAGAAGTGAGGTTACAGGGAACCAGACGGAGGGCCTTCTCGGTGGTGGCACCCGCCCTGTGGAATGCCCTCCTATCAGATTTGAAGGAAATAAGCGGCTATCCTGTCTTTAAAAGACATCTTAAGGCAGCCCTGTTTAGGGAAGTTTTTAATATTTAATGCTGTATTGTTTTTAACACTTGATTGGGAGCCACCCAGAGTGGCTGGGGAAACTCAACCGGATGGGCGGGGTATAATTTTATTATTATTATTATTATTATTATTATTATTATTATTATTATTGTTATTACTGGTCCTGATAGCTAGGGATCATGGGAGTTGTAGGCCAAAACATATGGAGGTCCGCAGGTTGGGGATGCCTGGTCTAGGCCAACCCCCAGCAATGCATCTCGCAGCGTGGAACTTAGGGCAGAAATGTGCTGGCACGTTTTAAGTTATTATAATAATAATATTATCATTTTATTGTTAGGTCCGATAGTATATCCGTCGGCCACCTGCCCCGGCGAGTTGCCAGCGGGGCCTCTGCGTCGTCCAGACGCAGCTCCGAGCGTTCAGCGTTCGAAAGTCAGTATCTTCATCTGGAGCTCCTCGTCCCCGCGGGCCCCCCTGCAAGGTGGGCATGGGGAGCGCCAGCGGCTGCCGGCAGAAGCTGCTCTTCTTGGAGGAGAGAGGGGTGTCGAGGGTGAGGGAGGCGTTGGCCATCTCTCGGGGCTTGGAGCTGGCCAGGAAGCGCAGCAAGGTGGAGAGGGCTTTGGCCACGTCGCCCCGGGCCCCTTCGTTGGCAAAGCAGTACAGGATGGGGTCGGCCACGCAGTTGAGGCTGGTGAAAGCCAGCGCCGTGTGGTAGGCCACGAAGACCGTCTCCTCGAAGCCGCAGTCGCAGGGCTTGCTCAGGTGCACGGCGCTGCGCGAGAGGAGGAGGAGGTGGTACGGGGCGAAGCAGAAGAGCAGGATGACGATGAGGCTGAGCGAGAGGCGCTTGATCTTGGCCTTCTCCTGCCTCTCGGTGGAGATGTTCCCCCGAACGGCGCGCAGGATCCCCGGTAGGAGAACAGCATCAGCGTCCACGGGAAGAGGAACCCGATGAAGACCCGGTAGAGGTTCATCCACGCCACCCACTCCTCCATGGGGTATTTCTCAAGCAGAAGGTGTGGTTGTAGCGGTCGTGGAAGAGCTCGTTGTGGAACAGCGGCGCCGAGTTGGCCCCGATCTCGATGGCCCACACCGTGGCGCTGACGGCCACGGCCGTCTTGACCCGGCGGAAGCGGGCGAAGCGCAGAGGGTGCGCCACGGCCAGGTAGCGGTCGACCGAGATGCAGCACAGGAAGGCGATGCTGATGTAGATGTTGGTGTAGAAGATGAAGCCGAAGACCTTGCAGGACTGCTGCCCGTGGATCCAGTTGTCGTGGTGCAGGAAGTAGTCGATCCACAGCGGCAGCGTGGCGATGTAGAGCAGGTCGGCCACGGAGAGGTTCATCAGGTAGACGCCCAGCTCGTTCTTCTGGCGCACCTGCAGGTAGGCGGCCCACAGGGCCAGGCAGTTGGTGGGCAGGCCCACGGTGATGACGGCGATGTACAGCGCCGGAGGGAAGAGGTGGTCGATCTTGGAGTCCACGTGGCAACTCACCAGCGTCGCGTTGCACATCCTCAAGGAAGCGGGCTGCGGAGAGCCCGGGCGGCGCTGGGTCCCCGGCTCAGGACAGGGTTCTGCGGGGCCAGGAGCAGGGCGTCCGCAGGGCCGGGCTGGCCATCGCGAGGAGGTTCCTGGAATCGGTGCGCAGCGAGGCCCCCATGGGATGGAGCTGGGTGCTGCCTTCTGCTGTGGTGGCACCTAATCAGCTGGGCTGGTGCGAGGGACGCTTCTCAGAGGTGCTTCCTGGCCTTGTGGACCTGGCGAAAGAGGACGGCAATAATAATAATAATAATCCCAAATCATCCAAATCCTATCATTTATTAACTTCTATGGTTTTGGGGTTACCCCCCCACAAATCTATAACATATCAGTAATCCTCTCCTCTTCCTCCATCAATTTGTCCAGTCCTCTTTTAAAGCCAACCAGGTAGGTGGACATCACTGCCCATCCTGCAGAACAGAGTTCCACAGATTTGCTATGCAGCATGAGAATAAGTACTTATTACAGGCACCCAAGGGATGCGGGTGGCGCTGTGGGTTGAACCACAGAGCCTAGGACTTGCTGATCAGAAGGTCGGCGGTTCGAATCCCCGCAACGGGGTGAGCTCCCGTTGCTCGGTCCCTGCTCCTGCCCACCTAGCAGTTCGAAAGCACCTCAAAGTGCAAGTAGATAAATAGGTACCGCTCTGGCAGGGAGGTAAACGGTGTTTCCGTGCGCTGCTCTGGTTCGCCAGAGGGGCTTAGTCATGCTGGCCACATGACCCTGAAGCTGTACGTCGGCTCCCTTGGCCAATAAAGCGAGATGAGCGCCGCAACCCCAGAGTCGTCCACGACTGGACCTAATGGTCAGGGGTCCCTTTACCTTTACAGGCACCCAACAATTCTCTCTCTCCCTCTTAATCGCTGGAGTTGGACAGAGCAGGAGCAATTCCAGGCGCAGCTGGTTTGGTTGGAATCCAAACATTTTATTGTTTTCACTAATTTATACAAGAAGCAGCAATCGATATTCAGCCACCCTCCCCATAAGCACCAAATGTCTATTTAATTACATTTGACGCTTAAATCATTTCGCTTTGCAAGCAAAGGCATCGTGCCATAAGCTGCCATGTGTCCTCGGAGACCTGTGAGCACGTTCGATCGGCGTCGTACAACGATGCCCGGTTGACGGAGAAGCTGTGGTTTTCTTCTCTGCTCAACTCTCTCGCACCTGGGTTTGTCCATGAATATTAAGATCCGGATTGAGGTGCGCATTTAGTGCGGTTTAGGAAGCGGGGCAAACGTCTCTCTAGATTTTCTGTGCCCCGATAAGATCTGGTTCAGAGGACATTGCATTTTAACAGGGCACAGCGGCACAGCAAGGAGAGAAGCTCTCGGACCCGGTTGGCGCTGTGGGTTAAACCACAGAGCCTAGGACTTGCCGATCAGAAGGTCGGCAGTTCGAATCCCGCAACGAGGTGAGCTCCCGTTCTCGGTCCCTGCTCCTGCCAACCTAGCGGTTTGAAAGCACGTCAAGGTGCAAGTAGATAAATAGGTACTGCTCCGGTGGGAAGGTAAATGGTGTTTCCGTGCGCTGCTCTGGTTCGCCAGAAGCGGCTTAGTCATGCTGGCCACATGACCCGGAAGCTGTACTCCGGCTCCCTTGGCCAGTAAAGCGAGACGAGCGCTGCAACCCCAGAGTCGTCCACGACTGGACCTAATGGTCAGGGGTCCCTTTACCTTTACCTTACAGTCAAAATACAGATCATGTGAAAGTGTGGGTGAGCTCCTTGGATGGGACCATAGGAACGGCATCTTATTACGTAAATTTCCTTTAGCATCACTTGGCGGTAGGGATACCTGGGACATTTGCTGCAGTAGCGTGGCAAGTCCAGACCTCATTCTTTCCACAGTTATGTTCTCCCATGAGATAACAAAATGAATTGTTTATTATTATTATTATTATTATTATTATTATTATTATTATTATTACTATTACTATTATTAAAAGTTGTACACCACCCTATAGGTAAAATTGGTAAAGGACCCCTGGACGGTTAAGTCCAGTCAAAGGTGACTATGGGATTACGCCGCTCATCTTGCTTTCAGGCCAAGGGAGCTGGCCTTTGTCCACAGACAGCTTTCCGGGTTATATGGCCAGCAGGACTAAGCCGCTTCTGGCGCAACAGGACACTGTGAAGAAAACCAGAGCACACGGAAACGCTGTTTACCTTCCCGCTGGAGTGGTACCTATTTATCTACTTGCACTGGTGCGCTTTCAAACTGCTAGGTTGGCAGGAGCTGGGACCAAGCAACGGGAGCTCACCCCGTCGCGGGGATTCGAATCGCTGACCTTCTGATCGGCAAGCCCAAGAGGCTCAGTGGTTTAGACCACAGCGCCACCCGCGTCTCTACCACCCTATAACCACAGATCTCAGGGCGGTTACAACATAGGTAAAGGTAAAGGGACCCCTGACCATTAGGTCCAGTCGTGGACGACTCTGGGGTTGCGGTGCTCATCTCGCTTTACTGGCCGAGGGAGCCGCCGTACAGCTTCCGGGTCATGTGGCCACCATGACTAAGCCGCTTCTGGCGAACCAGAGCAGCACACGGAAACGCCGTTTACCTTCCCGCCAGAGCGGTACCTATGTATCTACTTGCACTTTGACGTGCT